TCTTTCCAGCTTCGGGCATCATCCCCCCAATACCTCCTATTTCACCTAATACACACATTTATTCTTTGAATTTCTTCATTTTATTCTAGTCCACATAGCCCATATAGAAATTTCAGTAATCTAATATTCTAATATTCAGTAGATATTAGTAGGGAAAGGGGAAAGGAAGTGAAAAAATGGATTTTTTGTTTTTTTCTTTACTGAGGAAGATTAGCCCTGAGCTAACATCCATTGCCAATCTTCCTCGTTTTTTGCTCAAGGAAGATTGTCCCAGAGCTAAAATCTGTGCCAATCTTCCTCTACTTTATATGTGGGTCACCACCACAGCATGACTGACGAGTGGTGTGGGTCAGTACCTGGGATCCAAACCTGCAAACCTGGGCTGCCGAAGTGGAACGTGCCGAACTTAACCACTATGCCACAGGGCCGGCCCAAGAAATGGGATTTTTGATTCAAATCATTATGGAGAAATTACATTTACTATCCAATCCCAGGTGTTTCTTACCTCAACAACTCTTAAATTCACTAGATGAACATGGGCTCTTGTAGAGCTGAATAAAGAGAAACTAGAGATTCCTGGACAAAGGAGGTACAAAAGGAGCAAAACATCTTCAGGGAAGGCAACCAAAGCTAATTTTAGAACAAATCATTCTTAAATCTTTTAAAAACATGTGACAGTTTTTCATGCCAAGGTTATGGCCCAGAAACCAAAGCATCAAAGCTACATTGAGCACAGATCTAGAAGTCTGGAGACTATAAAAAAAGAAAATTAGCAGATTGAAGAACCCTGAATTCAGTAACTGGCATATAGTAGGTACTCAGTAAATGTTTTGAGGGAATGCTTACATTAACAGTGTTACAAAAGTTTTGGAACAGGTAGAATGAGCAAGTCTGTAAGCCCCTTCTCTCCACTAACTACATAGTCTACCTGTTCTCTATGAGCACTTTCAACCATTCTCATGGTATTTGCAACCATCTGTATGCTGATGGCTCCAAAGTGTATAACAGTGCCATAATCTCTAGATCATTATATCCATGTGTCTACTGAAGATGTCCACTTGGATGTCCTACCAGCATCTCAAACTCAATATTCCAAAATGAAACTTTTTATTTCTTCCTCCAAATATACTCCTTCTCTTGTATTTTCTTAACATAGTTAAGTGCACTACCCAAGGTAGTAACTGAGGTAGCATTCTACACATCTCTCTCTGACACTCATCATCCAATAAAACCTATTCATTTTACCTCCTATACATTTTTGAAACTGTCCTCTACTTTTCATCCATATCGTCACTACCCTAAGGTATTATCTCTTGCATGGACTATTGCAGTAGTATGAGTCTATCTCTAGTTTTGTTCCCTGAAGTCCATAGTATTTTATCTCAATGTCAACTCTGACCACATTTTTTTCTTAGCTTAAAGATCTCACAGTGGAATCTCATGACCTACAGGATATATTCATCCATGAGCTACCTTTTATATACCTCTCCATCCATATCACCCATTTTACCATCTCTCATTTTACACTTATTAGAGTAAAAAATACTAAACTGCTCCCCATATACATCATGCTGCTAAGCCTCTCCACATATTTGCTCTTGATTTTTCTTCTGCCTGCCTACCCATCTTTTCACAGTGTATTACTACTCATCTTTTAAGATTTATCTTAGGCATCATATCTCACTGAAGTTTCAGTGCCATTCTAGTATGGGTTAGGTAGCCCTTCTTGTATTTGTTTCTATAATAAAACTTCTCACATTGTTTAGAAATGATTTGTTTACACATTTCATCCTCCCACTCTAGACTGTGAGCTTACCAGAGGCATAGAATTTCCCACATGCTCCGTATCACAGAGCCTTGCACATAGAGTATTCTGTAAATGGTGTGAATGATGTAAACTAAACATATGTAGTGCATCTATATGGACCCAAATGAGGGAACAAAATTTAAAGTCCTGTTACTAGATCTTCCACTGGCTGTCCTCGTCAACTCTACTACTCATTTACAAAATGGAGCCAACAAGACAAAAGCTAAATAATAAGCCTTTGTAGTTTTGTTTCTAAAATTACTGACATTGTCACTTAGAGAGAAGTTTAATGGAAATAAGATGAGCTTTGGAATCAGAGAGGCCCAATTTCTAATCTTGGGTTCCCCAATCATAAATAGTGAGCTTGGGTTTACTGATACTGATGCTCAACGCCTGCCTCTTTGGAATGAGGATAATAGCACCTACTTTGTAGGGTAGTTTTAAGAATTGAGGATAATGTACAGAAAAGAACCTGGCACATTCAATATTCTGTTGTTGTTGTTGTTATTGTTATTATTATTTCTATTATGACTTGAAAATAATTATAATAAACTAAGCATTTTATTTGAAAAGTGAGTTAATATTTGTAAAGCATTCAACAGTGCCTCACAAGTGTGTGCACATGCATGTGTATGTATGTGTATATATATATATATGTATATGTTTTAGTCAGTTCCTCAAAGATAAATGAATTTATTATGTAAAAGAAATAAAATTTTAATGGACCTTTTATAAGCAATAAACTCTGAAAGGCTTAAACAATTTTTAATTGACAGTTCCATATTCTGAAATAAAACTTAACTAGATAGAATTGTACATTTGCAGAGGAGACTATAAAATCATTATTAGTTATTTAAAGAGCACATTATTGGTGAATGGAATAATGAATAAGTGAATGAATGAAAATGTGGTCTGTTTAAGTATGTGGTGAACATAATTAAACTGTAATTATAGTTATAGACAGGCAAGAAGGGTCCCATCTGAAAGCAAAGATGAGCTTCCCAATCTGTATTAATGGCTTTTCACCTTGCTTTGAATACAAACTGCTTGGAAGTTCCAAAAATTCTAATGTATCTCTTACTTTTTGGAATAAGTTGGGGTTTGTATTTTTTGTTTTGTTTTGTTTCGTAAAAGCTTTTACCAAAAGAGGTTGGGTTTTGATAGAATAGGATGTTTAGGATCCATTTCATAAATGGAGTCATGTGGCAGAGTGTGTGTGTGTGTGTAGATGACAGAGAGAGAAGAGCTTATGAGCATGAAGAGTGAAGATGTCCTAACTGATCTATGAAAGATTTAAACGATTAACTGGCAATTAGCCTAACAAAAGATATTAAAAAATACTTTATGGACCCCTTTGTAAAGAAGTGAATGACCATCAATAATTCTATTATTCTATTAATATTAATATTCTTTTAATTTAAACTATAGAGCAGAATTCTGGTTGTGCAACCCAATTCACAAATAAGCACAAAATATTTTCTATTGAAATGTGGAATGTCATTCAATGATTGGTGCTCCACAAGGGATTCTCTTTGGTAAAAAAAACGCTGCTCAGTCTGGCTTGGTCTGATGCTTTACCTCCTCCAACAAAGGCTTTAAGTTCCTTCCCTCTCCTATTTATGACTAGATCTAAAGTTACTTGTGTACATATTTTCCTACTTCCCTTCCTTCTCCCACTAAGACTGTGAGCTCTATGAGGCAGGACCTGTGGATTATTTATCTCTGTATCTCCAGTACAAAGCTCATTGCCTAGAATTTACTAGATGCTCAACCAATGTCTACTGATAAGTTAATACATTCCATCCATTTGGCTTGATGTAATGAACCTGTTCATTCAAATACCAAATACTTTTAATATCTTAAAAGAGAAAAAAACTAAGAGGAAGGCCTCTATCCTTCCTAATAATGATTTTAATTTTGTGGCATTTTGTTTTATTTAATATTAATTTTGAGACAGCAGGAAAAGAAACTTTAAAAAAAAAGTGACTATATCAAGGGTAAACAAGTTTTGTGATAGTAAGTCATTTCATCATTGCCTGTTGAATACCAGGAACATGGATGAAGTGGTATCATATCAGGCTCCAGTTTTAGAAGGAAAAAGGTAATAAAGGTAATGAATCTTAAGAGTCTTGGGCCCCTGCATGCTCTACGAGTAGTTATTCTCTACTGACTAAGCTTGCAATGTTGGTCAAGTTAGTTAAGTGTCAGTTTCCTCATTTGGCAAACAGGGTGACCATGCCTCTTTAATTACCTCACAGGCTTGAACTAATGAAAAAAAAGAGATTATTTCTGTGAAAGCATGTTGGCTCTGAAAACTGTCGTTCAAATATAAGGTCTTATCTTGATGTACCGTGTAGCAGACTAAGGTTGGGAATCTCATAATTTATTTTAGAAGAAACATCTAGTACCTTCCAGATATGGTGAATTGCCAGTTCTGATACAAAAGCTGTTTGAGCCACCCTCCACAATGCAGGTAGCCCAATACTGACTGTGAAACTTCAGCTTAATGGTTATATAAACCTCTCATATCCAAGGAACATCTCTTTTCTCTTTTGGCATCGCCAGTGTCTAAAATAATGCTCAGACATAGTACTACTCAATGAAGATTCATTAATGATAAGAACAATTTTTTAAAAAACTGATAATGGAAAGCAACACATTATAATGGCTAAAAGTGTGGGTTCTAAACTTAAGACCCCCTGTGCTCAAAATCCTTGATTAATCTACCTAATCCTTACAATCTTAGGTTTCTTCTTCAGTAAAAAGGGTATAATAACAACAGACCCTCTGCCACAGGCTTGTTGCCAGAATTAAATTTAGGTAGCACTATGTCTGGCACATGATAAGCACTAAATAAATTCCAATTTGTTGATACTAATGTTTGTTTTAGATGCTAGGAATTGCATTCCTTTTACCATTGACTATTAAATGGGATGGACTCACAGATTAATAGGCAATGCAAAAGGGTAGATTACAGGTGGCTTAACTAAGAAGTAACAAAATCATCCCCAATGTTATCCATACACCAACACAATCATCTAACAAGTATCACTGATCAGCCACTGCAGTGAAAAGCAGGAGCCCCTGCTGTGGCATGGGGCGACCCTCTATACCCACAGCTCTGCCTCAGCCTGGCCAGTAAGCACACAATCACATCTTTCTGTTTGCTCCTGTCCTTGTTCATGCTCACCAGGTACAAAGACAGGAGACTGGCCCAGCACAAGTCGGAAATAGAGTGTTTCACCCCCAAAGGGAGTATGGGGAATGGTGGGAGAGCAACAATGAGCAGGTAAGCAAACTGTGAGTGGCCTGAGGTGGTGTGAACTAAATGTATGCAAGCTAGAGGAACAGGTGGCTCCCTGGTCTGGGTCCTCACTCAACCGTGCATCCCACACAGTGTGTCCAACATGGGCCAACACTGGTTTTCTGTGTGTGTTTGATTTGCAAAACCCATGCCATCCTCACGTGAAGCGATGGGAGCCTCCTGTCCCAGATGCTGCTGTTTCCCAGGGTTGTGCGCTTTGCATGTCTGAAGCCTTAGCTCACAGTCAGTTCTCCCATGGATTTTAACTGATTAGTCAAATGCTTCTGGAGTTTGCAAAGTGGAAGAGATTGGAGGAAATTCATGTTTCAGGACTATCCAATCACTTAGTAAAACAAATGCAAAAGCCTAGGACTGGTTTTGAGGGCAGGACTGCCATTGAGTGAAGACTCCAGCTCCTGATCCCAGACAAGCCTGGGAATTAATCTGACTTACTTGGAAGGCAACATCATCTCACAGCCAAGGACAAATGTCATGTCAAACCAGTGAACTGTAGAGGCAAAAGGCTTTTCGTGAACTGAAATCAGGAAAGCTAGCCCTCCTCTAGCTACTGTAGCTTTGCAGCTCCTTTACTTCTCTGTGTTTGGTGGTGAACACCCCCTGTCGCTGCGCTGTGCATGTTCTTTTGTACCAGGCACTCCCAACTGAGCTGTGCCCAGTAAACGGGGGTATTTGGAACTATAAGCATCAACTGAGCTGTGTTGCATGAAATGAACGTGCTTTATTGCATGGGACTGGGTTTCAAGGAAAGGGTTCTGCAGATAAAGACTGTCAAGACAGGCATTAAACAGTTCCAGAACGCTGGAGGAGCCCTGAGTTGGAGAATCATTCACTATGAACTAACTCCCCATCTCTCATTTGTTGTGGCATTTCCCAATCCATCTGCGGTGCAGAGGCGTAGAAGGGAAGCTCTTGCAAACCAGCCTGGATTAAAGGAAAGGGCAAGTCTAGAATATAGAGTCTGTACATATGTGTGTGCATGTGCTGAGAGCAGAGCTTAAAGAGCCAGCTGCAGAGCAAGAAGAATCCTGTTGAATCTGTTGAACTTTCACCCCCAAACATTGTGTTTGCTTCCTCAGTAGTGGGCTCCTTCTGGTTTTCAAAATAATGTCTAACTTTCTCCAAGGACCACGGCATTGCACAACTGCTGGGGGGCCATTCACGTTGCAGTTGATGAAAATGGTGCCCGGAACTGTGCAGCATACAGCCTGAGCAATCATTCATAGCAGCCCTGGCCAAGAGCTTGGCCGACTTCGTCCATGGCTCTCAGAGAAAAGACAATGAGAGTGTGTGCACATGTGTAGGCATGTATGTGTGCACATTAGTGTATCTGATGGCCTTATGCCCATGATTCCTTTATACAGCTACCTTTGGATCTCAGTGTGTCTGGAAGATAAGACTCAATGGATCATTTTGTGGGAGTAACTCAACAGACTGCTACTGGGGCTTCTGGTTTCTTCCATTCTAATATGACAAAGTGGCATAATTCCTGTCCTTGAAAATCAGACATCACCAGAGTTGGCTACAAGGTGAAAATGACTGCATCAAATGAGAGCTCAGGGGCTCTGTCCAGAGTGACTTCTGATTTGAGGCAATTGTCTAGGACTGGAGTTCCCAAACCTAGCAAACATGCCTGCCTATCAAACATACTGAGGCAAACTCTTGGGCAATAGAACCTAACAATTTGTAGTGTGACAAGTTTTCTAGGTCATTCCGATTAAGCCAGTCCATAAACTGATATTTTGAAGTAATTCATTTGTCTAAGAGATATCATGGAGCTATTCACAGCAAACATTAGGTCTCAATTCTGTCATGCAGTGTTCTTGGGAGTGTTTAGTCAATGCTTGAACTCTCAGATCTGATCAGCCCAGGGACTAGATTTGCCCAAGGCTGTCTTGATTGAGAATGGGGGAGGAGAGGATAGGAGATGGTGAGACACAGAGGGTAAAGGGACCCCAGATCAAACAGAACAAGCTTCCTTGGGTCAGGTCCAGATCTACAGAGGTAGGCACTCCATGTGTCTACACATGGAATGGTCCAAGTCTCTCTACAATAGCAAGATATCATTTAGCTTTTCTTTCCTCACTTATTTGGATAGGGCCGAGGTAATGGCAAGGCTTATTACACTATGCCTTGGTGGGGCAGAGGGGCACAGTGCATGCTAGAATAAAGACCAGTCTGTTGGAGTAACCACCTCAGCCCCATAGATAAGCATAGTTAATTGGAAACAAATGGCCCTCCCTTCCTACTTTTTTCCCTTCCCATTTCTTTAGCATTAAATAAAAACTAACAAAGAGAGTGTGTGTGGGAGGGAGAGGGATTCCTCTAGTAGGGAGGAGAAAAGGCCTGGAGACCTACAAAAAGAGAGGCCAAAATTTCTAAGGCCCTCAAATCTTTTTTCCAACCTCATATTTGTTTATATAAATACACACACACACATACACAATGACATTTATCCAGGAGAAATAAGTTTAAAATCAGCATTAAGAGAAAAGATATCAGAGAGGAGACAACCGCAATGTAAACCAATTCCAAATAAGGGGTTAGAGAGACGTTAATCCTGATTTTCTTACTCTGGAAGTGAATGGAGAGGCTGGGAAAAGGATAACTGTATGTGACTTTTATAGATATTTTTAGTATCAGGGGATAGGGCCTCTTTCTTATCCACTCCGACTCCTCCCCCCAGTTCTTCCCAGAGTAATAGTCAAGCATCATATTTACTGTGCAAACATCTGGGCTGGTTCTGTGGCCATTACTGAACAACCAGTCCAGGGAGGGGCTGAGGGAAGCTCAAACAACCACAGAAAACCAGGAGTGTCGCCCTGCATCTCATTTGCCTGTGTTTTCAACGATGAAAATATAGAATGAACAGGATCCTATGAATTCATCCCTGGGGTGATTCTTCCAGAGCCAAGTTGCTGGCAGGGAGAGGAGTTTTACAATGTACACAGTCAGAGCAGAGTGGAACGCTATTATGGGTAACATTGGCAGGGTCTTAAAGACGCTCCCTCCCTTCTCCCTCCTACCTCCATCCCCTACATTTGACAATGTATGTTACATGTGTCCATAACACTCTAGCTTCCTGAAATATTATGTGGCTGTTTTCCCTTTATGTGAACAGTCTTTTTTTTTTCCTTCTGTCTGAATATAGGGTAACTTGTCATCTTTTCATATTTTCACAGTGGACAGTCTAAGTGTGTTTCAGAGCAGAGTCCTCCTGATTGCAGGAGAAGTGAAAGAGACTCCTAAACAGGGAGGTGCTCTAAGAACAGGAAACTCTCTAAACCCTGTTACCTCGTGAGTTCATAGCGAGATGGTCCACCCTCAGGAACTGCTAAAACCCCAACAGTGAATGTTGCCATCTCTTGGCTCAGCAGAAGCATTCCATCGGTGTGCTTCTTGGAGTCTGCATTCTGACGTGCTCATACTGTACCCCATGAAGGAGAGGCACAGACATTTTGAGCCTCCCAATCTCTCTTTGAGAAAGGGCTCCCTTAGTCAAATGAAATAGACAGACCTGTAATCCCACTCCAGTGCTAGCAGGAAGGAGGGTGGTACAGGGTTATTTTTATTGTTGCTATGTCATGATATCAGTTATGGGAAGGATTAACCTCCACTCAGTTGAGAAACTGATTTTCATCTAGTAGATGCAGCATCTAATTTTAGTGGGTATAAATGTTTAATAAAGCCTTAGAGAATCTGGTAACAGTGATGTCATAATAGTCATTATTAAATTAGTAGGAACTCAGATTTGAAAAATAGCCCCAAAATGTGATGTCTATGTTAAAATTGTTTTGCCTTTCATTCATTCATTTCTCCCTTCATGTAATGCTCATTTATTAAGCACCTACTATAAACCAAGCACTTACAAGGCTCTGGAGAAATGGATGACCAAGACATGACTAATGCCCTTGAAAATCTGTAATCTTTTGGGGAATAGGGTCAGAAAAACAGATAATTGCAATGCAATATGGAACCCTCTCCCATAGGACAGTTTATGCATCAGATTAAGTCTTCATTTGATAGTGTATACTATAGCTTATGCCAGTGCAAACAGAATTAAGAGTAATAGAAACTAAATAATAAAACTGAATTGAGTGTTCAGAAAGGGCTACGCACACAGTTATATAAAACTCAGAGTCCATAGAAGAGAAAGATTCTGCTTTTCCAGTATAATAGAGGCCAGCTAGCTTCTTAGCAGTACATTAATATCACTGCAGTGTCTTTTCTTCATTCCTCCCCAAACGTCGTTTCAAATAATGCTCTAACTTATATTTAGAGATGTTCTAAAATAGATAAGAATAATAATAACAGTTACTACCATCACTATAATTACTATGCATCAGACACTGTAGCAGTGCCTTCACATATGTTATGCATTAAGTTCTCCCAAGAATATTAAAGCTAGGTATTTTTCCTTTCCATGGTACAGATGAGGAGAATGAGGCTCAGGGATATTTAATAACTTACACAGTAGAGTGGTTTAGTGAAAATTCTGAAATCAGAGACTTAAACTTGGTTCCAGCTCTAGCCAGAATGTGACCTTGAGGTGCCATTTTACCTCTTTAATCACAATTTTCTGTAAAATGAGGATAATAATATGGCACTTCCCTTACTATAATGAAGTGAAAATTAAATGAGATAGTGCAAGTTCAGCACTCAGCATACCCTGGGCACACAGCAGACAATCAATCATAGTTAGTATTACTATTACCCCAGGCTGCCCAGCTTAGAGTTCTTTTTTTGTCTTCTCTTGTATTCTCCACCCTGCCATCATAGTTGTTTTCTCAAAAAATCAATTCTGGAAAAGTAAAATGAAATCTAGAAATAACGGTGAAATTAATTCAATGATATAATTTCTCTGCTTTAAAATTCATGTTCTGTGGTTTCCAGTAACAGCAGCCAACTTTTGTGTGGTGCTAAGATACACCAGACACTGTTTTAAGTGCTTTCTGTACGATCTCTTA